TTTTCTTTATTTGGACCCCGCTGATCTTTAATTGGTTACTCCTGGAATACAACATGCAACAGTGGAGGAACCAGAGTCTGCTGCGTTGTTAAACTCCAACAGCGTTTACTGCACTTACCAAAAGTAGAACATAGTTGTGAGGTGAAAGAAAGCATCATGTATCGTAAAACTTTATCTATCCAGAAAACCAGAATATTCTGATGTGCTTCTGTTGCAATGCATCCTCTAGATCAGTGATTCTCTACCTGCAGACTGTTCCTCTGCTTGGTTTGGACGTGTGTCACAGCTGAAGGGGAACTCAAATATAGAAGAAAAACGTACTTTGTTTTTTTTTTTTTTTTTAAAGAAAAGCTTGTTACATTTTCAATTGGTTCCTTACAAAGCAAAACAGATCCCATCCCTATTCTATTTTACTATCTAAGAAATAAAATATTTTCATGTACCCATTGCAATGCACTCGCGGACGACTAGGGGTACGAGTACCCCCTGTTGGGAATCACTGCTCTAGAGGAGGAGAGTTCTGCACATGCCTCTGCATATTAGTCAGATTGAATGTAAAACACGTGGAAACTTATTTCCAAGTCTTTCCAGAAAATCCCAACTAGTTTTAGGGCTGAATTTGGGTCTTTCTATATTCTCAATAATGATTTTACTCAGATTTTACTCAGGCGTATCAGGCTAAAACGTATGTGCTTTTGACATACATTTTTTTTTCCATTTGAAAAGTATTAAAGTATTTCTGTTTGTCTTTCACCAAAAATCTGCAAACATACATTGAAGCATGTGGTTTAATGGGACAAGAAGTTAAAGTGTGTGATTATTTTTGCAATGCACTGTATGAATCTGTTTTAAATGGAAAGAAAAACTTTTGCAAAAGCAAATATCCAGTGAGCTACGAAAAACACAATAGATTCATGAAACCAGTGAAGAGCAGATTGAAAAATGGCTGCAGGAGGTGAGAGAGCATCAGAACTGCAGAGTGAAAACTTCTGGAGTTCAAGGAGCCACTAAGATACTAAAGGAAGACTGATGCCAAGTCATTTAAAATGGTGCTGAACTTTAAATCTTATTTCTACAACTATAAAACCTTTGCTTTTCATGTGGAATCCAGTGTAAGGGATCACATCTTATCTGGGAAAATATTTTATCATCTCTAACCAGGTCAGAAACTGAGGGCATGACGGTCACCTACCCCTGGGAGGGTTGTTTCAGTTGCTCCTCTAACCTCTTCAACCTGCACAGTAAATAATATGACAGTACCTGCATCACCTGACAGTCGGGGGGGGGGGGATGAGACATGTTTGGTTTTTATCAACTCTCCCTTTCATGTTGCCACACCTGGCGACAGCCCCTCCACGCCCTGCATCACCACATCAAATGAAGAAGCGCAGTTAAACTGACATCCACTTCATTCCTGGGGGGGGTGACTAACGCCACCAAAGAGCACATCTGCCATCTTGTTTTTACTACCATTCCCGTCTATCCCTGCCCCCCCGCTGCTCGTCTGTCATCGCCTGACAGTCAGCACTCAGGGTGTCTTGGAGAACATTTTCTGGAGACATACTTTCTGTCTTTGTCATAGCTGTGATTTTTATGGATGAACAGTTTTATAAATGTACTCACAGCGGTTCATGACCCAGGAGGGTTCATTTAATGCTCACATCTCACACTTTTCTTTCATTAGTTGCAGTTTAGGGAGTTTTTTTTAGCTTATTGTCAATAATCTGTTTTCTGAGGGATTTAAAAAAATTCACATTCTATTGCTGCATAAGCTTTTGGTCCATACCAGGGTTTTGTCTTGTCACCAAAGTGGGGAAATAGAGGATTTAGAGGAGTTTGAAGATGGCCTGGTTGTTGGTGCAGAGCAGGCTGATCTAATGGGATTTTAACTCACAGCCACCAAAGCTGGTCTGAAAAAGCCAACAATATTCATTCAGTGACAGAAATTTCGACAAAAATGTGTTTATAATGTCAGAGGTCAGAGCAGAAAGGTCAGGTTGGTTTACACTTAAAGAAGAGGGACAAAAGACGTCTGAATAACCTCATGTTCCACATGAAGCATGGAGAATTAAATATATATGAAGACAAAACAGTTTGAACTTCATCAGCATTTCCTCCACTCCGGGTTGCTCTACTTTCAGTTTAGAATAGGAAGCAAAGGCTGAAATGCACACATGTGAGTGCGGAAAACTCACCGTTATGTTCAAGATAATAAGCAGTAAATGATCCTACTGCTCCAACAGGGTGGACTGTCCTGATCAATGGATGGACATGGTTTCATTTCATTTGGTTCCAATACCTTTAAAACGTATTTAACATTATAAACCGTGGATAAAAGGTTAGAAGGATGTTAACTGACATTAACATCAGGAAACTGTCTCTCAACCAGGACTTAAAAACCAAGACGCACATCCAGGGTGTGATTGATTGACCTGTGCTAGCGGTTCTATTCTGATTAAAAATCTGAGAAAAGATGGTCAGGTGTACGCATGGATAAAATTTAAAATTTCAGAAGTGGGGGGAGGCAAGATTTTTTTGATATAATTCAATTCAATTCTATTCAGTGTATTTCTATAGCTCCAATTCACATCATGTCATCTCAGGTCACTTTATAGATCCAGATCAACCAGATCATCCAGTCAGATTGATTCAAAGTTTTCTATCTAAGGAAAACCAGCTGATTGCATCGACTCATTGACTCTTCAGCAATCCCTCACACTAAGCATGCTTGTAGCGACAGTGGAGAGGAAAAACTCCCTTTGAACAGGAAGAAACCTCCAGCAGAACCAGGCTCAGTGTGAGCGGCCATCTGCTGAGGCCCACTGGGGTTCATATATATATTTATAACCATCTTCAGGGTGTTTGACCATCTAATCACAGACCCGATTCAGGGGCTATTCAGATGTTTGTAAAGTGAGCCTTTCAGGAGTGACAGCGTTGACAGCCAATCACACAGGAAAAGACGGTGGGCCAATCAGGAGGTCTGAACTTCAGCTCGAGCCTCTTGGTCCCAGTGCTCGATGAATGTCTGTGTTCTCTAGTGTATCACTGTTTTTGGACAGTAAGAAGTGCAGCGGATGAAAACGGAAGTTTGAAAAAGTGCAGGGGACAACTCACCCCCCCACCACCCAAAAAAAAAAAACAAAGCTATTCCGCCATGCATGTATGTATAAATATCTTGGTTTGAAATCCAGTGTTTTGTACGACAGTTTGGTTTCTCTCTGACTGGCTGTATTTGGAGGTACCAACAGTAACCTGAGTCATGCAGTGAGATTTGTGTGCGATTCATCACCTCAGACTCATTACAGCAAAACACATCAGAGACCCTGTAGAAACTGTGATCCAGGTCCTGGACGGCCGGCGCAGGGTTAAAGATGGTCTTTACTGCAAAGAGAGACAAAAACAGTCAGTCAGTCATTGATTAAGCCATCAAACAGCAGAACGCACAGTCTGATCGGAGACTGAGGCTGTCAGCTTGTTTTAAAAAGGATCTTAACAGTTTCACTTGCTGATCTTTTTTCTTCTCCGTTTCTGAGCCAAGCTGCCAAGACACCTTAATTAAACCCTCAGTGGGAACAAAGGCCTGCATGCGACCGCTGGGGATTGTTCTGGAAAGCAAAGCTCAAGTGGAAAAGCTGCTATAAATGGAAACTCTTTAAACAATTAAATTAGCATTTTGTGTGAAAAAGAAGAATGAACAGTTAAAGGACCTCAAATCTAGCAGCGTTTTCCAGCTATATGTGAGGGGGAAGTTCAACATGAGGCGTCCATAGAACCATGCATGCATGTGTATGCCTGTGTGGGTGTTATGGGAGTTGTGACCCTCTCTGCCTGTATGAGAGTGAATTTGTGTGTCACAAGTAATCCTCTGTATGTGTTGCAAATCACTGGCTGATGCATATTCATGAGCAGAGAGCATTAATGTGGCTAATACTGTGATTTCTGTGTATGTGCGAGGATAAGCCCAGCCTGACGAGCCGATTAATTCCCAGATCTCTGTGTACAAAATAAAGCCTTGCTCGAGTCTGAGATTGGGAGGGAAATATACATATCAACGCTGGTGACATCAAAGTCTGTTGTGCAGAAGCGTGTGTGCGTGCGTGGGCTCAGAAGGGAGCAGATGCGTGGGTTTGCGCAGGGCTTTGGCCACCTGGCACTTTGAGGTGGATGCTCGGCTGCTGGCGAGTAAAAGTGGAAATAATGTCTGTTTCTACCAACATGAAATACTTCTACTGTATTTGCACTCATCTTCTAAGGATACCCAGATCTTTAACTCTTCCTTTCTCAACTAAGGATAAACTTTAGTTTCTAAGACAGGTGGGAAAATTCTGGAAAGTGATGCCCCCTGTATGTAAAAAAGAAAACACTCATCAATCTGTCTGCCAAAGCAAATATTGTAGTAAATGATCTATTCCTTACTGTCTCTTTCTAAAGCGTTTATCTTCTTCTCACTGTTTATGTCCTTCTCAAAACTGGAATACTTGGTTCCAGGTACTCAGATATTCACTTCCACACAGGAAGCCCATATTCTGATCTTCAGGTAACACAGAGTACATGTCAGATTAAATAATACTACTTTAGCGATAGTATCTAGGTGTTACTTTATTGTATGTCTGGTTCCATGTCTGTTGGTTGTTCTGTTGTTTTTCCATCTCTTTGCAGGTGATGAAGCAGACTGAAAATGTTTTATCGTTATCTCCCTCCTATCTCCTCTTTCTTTCATCTTTTCTCCTTTTTTCTGTTTTTCCTCTTCTGTTCTCTTTCCATTGCAGTGTCCATATAATCTGTAAAACTCCCTGCATTATTATAATAAAGCATAAATCAAGCGGAACACTATGGTGATAGCCGTACTGCTCCACTGGTTGAAGTAAAATCTGTTGGGCTCTTTTTGGCATCAAGACAGTTATTCTTATTGCCTCATTACCAGACAGGACACTGTTAAAAAAACAACAACTAAATAACACACCTTCTGCAGTTTTCCTACTTATCAAGGATCAAATCAGACATCATCATATTTTTTGATAAGACCAAAAAAGTTTAGGCCCAGCAACCCCATAAATACATCTGTTAGTTGACTAAAAGCGTTCCTATATTGCATCCTGCTGTGCTATGCATGCTGGGTTACTGAAGGTCATCTACTCTGGCAGGGGTCTTCAATGTTTTCCATATATTGTATGAAATATTGTGATATCAAACTGGTCCATTTATCCGTTTACTGCAGTGTGTTCAATTCAGTAATAATCAACCAAAACTTCGGTGACCCCCATGCAGTCCCTCCGTGGACCCCTAGGGGTCGCTGTTAAAGACCTCCATACTATGGTCTACACATGAGGACATTTGGTGGAAAACCATCTTAGAGGAACAGCTGTAGCTTGGTGTGTTTTCTGGGATCAAAGGTGTGGATGTCATGGTCACTGCCTGCAGGGTAGAGTTCAAACTGGGTTCTGAAAGAGATCATTTTCTTCTGATTTGATCCGTAACAGATCAGGATGTTCTGTGGATCAACCATGTTTCTCTTCTCTACCACAAAATAAGCACTGAAACACAATGAGCTGGTAAAGGATCATCTTTAGCATCCCACATGAAGGCAGCATCTCACACATAAGCACAATCCATGCTTGTGGTCAATAACTAGGTTTTTTTTTAGCTTCTATTGTATTTAATTGTACTTGTACAAGTATTGTATAATCTAAAAAGCAAAATAACATAAATACAGATAAAAATGGGGCAGAAATGTTCTCTGGATCTGCTCTGAGCTTCTCCTGCGATGACACTAGAGGAGCGATACGACAAAAGAGTTGAAACGCTTCCATTTTCTCATGGTATAAAATGATAGTGATGCAAAATCATTTATAGTTAAGGGTGGAAATAATTACTTTCTGTACTGTTTCCTAAAATGCATTTACTGTACTGACCATCTAGATATACGCTTGTTGCTCATGTGATGGATGGTAGAGATTGGAGAGATCAGGTAGATCAGCGGCACGGCAAACATATTAGATACTGCTACGGTTAATAATGTTGAATAAAATATAAAAAAGGTGGAAAAGCTGTAAATTATATCTCATTGTTATGTTTACATTTGATCAATTTGTCACTGCTGCACTTTAAGAAATGTCCTGAGAGCTGTACTGAATAAAGGTTTGTTTTGTATACTGTCTGTGTCCAAAATGACAATAAAGTTTCTCTGAGTCAGATAGTATGCTAGTGTTAGCGCCTTAGCATTTAGCTACATGCTACTGTCACAGCAACTAATGCAAATTATTTTTAATTAACTTTATCCACTTCATACAGTTTCCTGCTTTAGTTTAAACCAGAATTCAAGGTATTTTTATTTATTTTGTCGATATAATTCTATTACATTTGTCCTTGTTCTAATCTTTCTGCTAACATGAACTTAAATCTGACATTTTCACCTTCTGCAGGTTTCCTCTAGCTGCTTATCAACGGAGCCTGTAGGAGTTCAGCAGCATTTTTAGCAGATGATACGACATTTTTTGGTTTGACTTATGCTCTTGTTTCTCCTCTGTCTTACAGTGAAACACACCCTTTGGTAGGGTGAAAAATAACCAAAATTCAAAGAGAACGCCTTGAAGACCTGAAGAACATCTGGAGACCTGAAGAACATCTGGAGACCTGAAGAACATCTGGATAACGACCACTTTAAAAGATTACAAATGAGTGCGCTGTTAAAAAAATACAAAAGAAGTGAGATGTTCTGATTCCTGTGCAAAATATCTTATGGAAAATTGTTAAAGGTGTTATTTCATTTACATGTACGGTAACTTTTATAATTAGTAAGCTTTTTTTTAGAAATAGTAAATATTTATACTGTAAGATTTTTATAGAATCAACTAGAATAAGTAAATTACCTTCCATATTTAAATGCTAGTGTTGCTCCGATGCCATTTTATGGCCCCGATACCTG